GGCTCAAGTTTTTCACAAGGGCACGACTTCACTTGCTGATCTTGGAAATAAAATATGTACTTCATTTTAGCAAGCAGCTTTTCCTCCCCCTGTTTCATAAATGACTCAGATGTCCATTGAGAAACTAGCTTAAAATTCTAAAATGAAAACCCCAAATCAGTTACTCACTTCAAAGTTTATTGCCAAGGGGCTCTTTCTCTACCTAATGCTGCAGCTTCAGACCCAGACATGCCAGTGTTGGCAGAACAACTCTGCTTTGTTCTTTTCAGTGCTAATGAAATGTTTACTTTTGCAGGTGTGCTTTTAACTCAAGTCTGATAAGCCAGCTGGCTTTCTCCCTGCTTCCTCCAAAGCACTGCAGTAGCAGCAATGTCTTGTGTCCTGTAGGTTGTTACTCAAGAAATGAAACAATTTTGAAACCTGTATTTTGTGTAAAGTTATTGTCAGAATGTTAATGCTCCTAGCTGTTCTTTAAGTCATACTTTCAACAATTATTATCTACAAAGGCAAGAATAGCAATGACGTGTTTCATCTAAAGTTATTGAAAACACAGAATTTGGGGGTTGGATTCAGAGCAAATTAAATCTCCATTGGGTTTTGTGGAACTTAATGCGACTTGAGGTTTCCATGTAGATTTCAGTGGGTTCTAAGCATCACTAACTTGGTCTGGATCCACACCTTTCCTATAAAGCACAAAGTTTAATCATGGGCAGTTCTTCTAGATAAGATACAAAATGTCATCAACATTGAGCAAATGGCTTCTTAAAATGATAGGAACACCCGTGGAGAACCCTCCCATCAGATGTCAAGGAAATAAAGAACTACACAACTTTTAGATGACATCTGAAGGCAGTCCTGTGTTAAGAAGTTTTAAATGTTTAACATTTTACTGTGTTTTTGTATGTGCTGTAAGCTGCCCAGAGTGGCTGTGGAAACCCAGCCAGATGGGCGGACTAGAAAAGAATAAGATGATGATGATGATTTATTAAGCAATAGCTTGTCTTGTTGGTCATGGGAGCTGCCGTAATAAAATCTACAAAAAGAGACATAGGCTGGAATACATCTTTGTGATATGGTGAATGTCCACACTCACCAATGCCTCTCTCCCCCTTCCCCATCCCAGTACATTCCACCACCAGTTTTCCCATTGTATATTATGGGCAAGGGTAGAATTGGACAGGGAAGGGAGATGGAGGGAGAATTGCATAAAAAAACCAACCCCCCCCAAGTAATAATAAATGGATATTGAGATGGGGTTCTCTTTAATCTGTGAGTGTTGGCACTTAGCAGACTGAAATGAACACAAGCAAGGCAGAGAGAGACAGAGAGAATGTGTGAGATAGTCCAGGAACAGTGTGACCCATGAAATCCTGTGATCATCCACCAAGTTCAACAGCTATACCTCCATTGCTGATTATGATTTGTTGGTTTAAAGCTGCATCGAGATCCAGTAGGCTTGATAGATACAGGTATGGCCATGTTAATATCCCACAAGCAGCTATCAAACTTGATGGTGGGTTATCCCGCAAAGCGTAGTGAAATCTGACACTTCTTTGGATTGGTGTGGCCCATTGTAACTTGTCTGCCAAGCTGAAGGGAATATGGGAGGGCAGAGATTTGTGATTTGATAAAGCAATGCCCTAAATTTACCAATGGTATCATCTTGTTCCTTGCTCCCCACACAATAAACGGACCACCATGAGCCAATTTAGTGCAGATAACCAAGGCATATGTTGCTACAGGGTAGTACAGGCTTCCTCAACCTCGGCCCTCCATAAGTTTTGAGACTACAATTCCCAGCATCCCTGACCACTGGTTCTGCTAGGGATCATGGGAGTTGTAGGCCAAAAACATCTGGAGGGGCGGAGGTTGAGGAAGCCTGGGGTAGTATGTAACCTTGCATTTTGTACTTGCATACTGCATTTACAGCATTAGCTTTCTTTTGCCAATCAGTAATTGCGCTATTGCATAATTACCATGAAACACTTTGCTGACCTGCCAATAATGGGTGGCTCTCTAGGAGAAATCTGAACGCCTTTCCCCCCAGTTTATTGTCACACTTTCAACCCAACATTACAGCCAGATTTCAAAGGGCTTTGGGTTCATTATGTCCTCCCTGAGACTCATCACAAAACTTTCTGTACTCTCAAACTTCAGGTGTTCACACTTTTACTATGTGCTTGGCTGTGTTGTTGTTATGCATTGTAGAGTTTTTCTTACAGCCAGATTTCATGTTCTTTCATACCAAGTGTTTTGAGGCATGTATGCTGCTGCTCCTCTTTCCTTAAGGGTAAGCCCCTTTAATAATCAAGAAGTAGAATTTATAGAACATGTAATTCCTATGCTGGAGTTTTGCAACATATGGTTGATTGGCCCTTAGTTGACCAGGCAGATCTGCCCAGCAGATCAGTTCAGTTTTATGTTAAATATCCAATGGAAGTTACAAACCCAAAGGTATCACTTGCAGTGACTAAATTTCTATCAGTGAGAAGAATTCACCACCTGAGACTGGACAGGCCGTCTTAACAAGGACTCACTTGATATCATAGTATTTATATGCCTATAAAGTGACACAAAAGAACAATCTGTTTTGCTCTGAGATTCTTATGTGCTGTATACTTTTTATTTTTGGTTTATTGGCTGTAGCATATTGATGGATTGATGTGCTTGCTGAGTGGTGTCTTGTTTCTTCCCTAAATTAATGTAGTTTTATAGCCTCTACTGTGGTTTCTTCCCTAAGGGAAGTGATGTTTGCACTCACAGGACCCATGGAGTGGTAGCACGCTCCACCAAGAAATGGGAGAGATTTAAATGGAAAAGAGCGACTTACATGTAGCTCCTCTACTACATTCATCCTTGGTTTGTTACAGATAATATTATAACTTATTGTGTATATATTGAATTGGTCTATGTTTTAAAATGTTATGGCTATTAATCCAAAGGAGTAGGTTTTTAAATGGCTCTGTGCACCCAAATTTTAAATAGGAATTGATAAATACCAGTAAGTGGCATGCATACACAAAATCCACTTTAGTAATTGGGCTTGATGCTATAGAGGTGCGTTCTAAAATATGTTAATGTTATGGACATAGTGCTAGTTCTGAAAGCACACTTTCCTCCTGAGTTCTCTTAGCGTCAAAGTAAATGTTTGCAAAGTGTAGCCTTTAGGATTGGGCTCAATCTGAAGTCGGAATGGCAAATATTGACATTGTGATTTTAGTGATCAAGTTCTACAAATTGTTTTCGTTTTGGTGGAGCATTTTGCATGCAGAGTCCCTCACCTGAATCATATAGCATGTGTGTTAAAGTAACTTCCAGATTCTGCATCTGCTATTTGTGAACTTCAGTCACGTATGGTTGAGAGCACAGAATAAGCCCAAGGTTGCAAAGGTCACTTGTTTTGATATGAAGCTAATGAGGGGCAAATATCTGTAGAAGTCCAAAAGGGATGGCCTAGCGCAGGTTGCTAAGCAACAGACCACAAGAATTTGTTCAGTCACGAGGCACTAGCGCCTATTTAGTTTGTTTATGTCAAGTGCTCTGCCACCCAATTTGACAAACAGGAGGGAGGGGGGAAATTATACAAAGTATATGTAGTGACTGCAATTCTTCATCCTGCTTATGGGAAATAGTTCTTCCCTGCTGCCCCCTCTTTCCCATTAAAATGAAACCTGGCCATATGCCAGTTATTACCTTTCCAAGTCAGTTTGTGTTTGGTTTCGGTCAGATTGACTGACATGGAATTTGTGGAATTTTGCTTTGCCTGTGTAGAATGCAAAACAATAGGCCTTTCATTAAAGTACAAAGGGCAGCAAGTTCATATCACTACGTTCACCACATTTTCCTGCTTCTAATTATTTCTGTCATGGGCACTGAGTTTCAATATAATTTTATTCAGTACTTCACTTGTGCCTCAAGGCACACTGTTATGGATCAGTGACAGAGTCTTCTTCTTTTAAATAAATGCATACATGAATAGTAAAATATTAAACATTCTTCACAGTTGCAAGGGTTAGAGGTCACCTCGCCTTTTGCTTGAACGCATTCCACAGCCCTAGATAGTTTTAACTGGTTACCTGTTAATGGTGCTTTGCAATTTATATGGCCAGGAAAAGAACTTAATCGCATTTCATTATCTGTACACTGGACTTTGAACCATGTCTGTCTCAAGTGCTTAAACATAGTTCCTGCTGTTGGCAACGATAGTGTGAACTGGATATGAGAAATTTCAGCGTTGTAGTTCTAGCTTAGCTGCCTCTGTGATTCACTAGTTTTGTATGTGTGAGGATTCTGACATAAATCTTCTGCTGCAATTCATCAATCACTAGGTTAAACTGTGAGGAGAATTAGCTCCAAAATTGGAAATTGAATCTGCACTATTTAGTGTATTTCGACACCACACTAAACTGCAGTTTAGTAGGATATAGTGAGCTTCTGACTCATGTAACCCTCTGTCTCCTTCCCAATCCTGGGATGAGTTTGCCAGCTTTTGCTTCTGGCTTCCATTAACCTCAGCTTGTCATATCATCTGAACTGACAAACTGTAGTTACTGTTAATTAGCCATTGAAACTAGTTACTCAGGAGAAGGGAAGCACACAAGTCTAAGGTTCCGGGCAGCTTATTCACATTATGCTAAACTATGGTTTAGTGTGACATCTGAACTCTCTTAATTGTAGGTGTTTACTCCTTCAACATTCCACACCTTATGTTAGTAAATCATTGTTCAAAGCATATGCATCTACTCAAACCATCAGTTTTTTTTTGGGGGGGGTGGGACAGGCACAGCTTTAATCCTTGATGAATTGCACTCTGAACCTCTTACTATGAGCTAAATCCACGTTGTCCTAGTTTTATTTATTAAATAAAAATTTTAACATTAATTTCTAAAAAGGGAAACACTTGGCTCCATATTGGCTGCAGATGGATTATGCTTGCATTTCCAGATGGGTCAAGTTCATATTAATGATGATCTATACATTTCCCCCCCTCCCTTTTTCAGTTCTGTTGCTTGAGAAGATAGAGAATGATGATATTCATAACAAAACACTGAAGATTACAGACTTTGGCTTGGCTAGAGAGTGGCATAGAACAACTAAAATGAGTGCTGCGGGAACCTATGCATGGATGGCACCTGAAGTTATCAAATCATCCATGTTTTCTAAAGGAAGTGATATCTGGAGGTAATTATGTTTTCAATATTCTCTTTATTTTTTTTGAATAACTTTTGTACAGCTGGATGAAATTTGAAGCAACCTAAAGTTGTGTGGTTGTTTCTGGGGTGGTGCCTGGTACATGCTGCAAGTGAGGAGCACCACCAAGGTGTACACAACTTACAAGGTCCTGGCTCCTAAACCTCACCCAGTCAGTAACTCTGGGACTCTGCTGATTCTAGGCTTCCCTTAATGGTTCTCACTCTACTTCTCACTATATTGGTTCTCCACTATATTGCATTCTAGAGAGCAAGAGTAATATCTCTCTATACGCCTATGTGCATTTTTTAACACCTGAAAGATGAGGTCAGATATGCAAGGAGAGGAATTCAACTTTGCACTAAGGCAATTGTTCTGTCTGGTAAAGTACTTTTGCTTGCCCCGCAGAACCACCACCACCCCACTCATCCCTTCATGCCTAAAACAGTTTCATAGAATCATAGAATTGGTAGAGTTGGAAGGGACTCTGAGGATTATCTACTCCAACCTGCTGCAATGCAGGAATATGCAGCTTGGATCGAACCTGCAACCTTGATGTCACCAGCTCCACACTCTTAACCAACTGAGCTATCCAGGTTTCATTTACAGTATAATTAAAACAAGGCAGGTGAAAACCCACAACCACCAGAGCAACAGTAAAACAGCAGCAGCAATGAGATCAAGCATCCATCTTAAACACTTAAAGGAATTATTTAGTTCATTCTTCCTTTTTTGTGGGCTGCAAGGTGAAGGCTTTATGGAAACAAATATGATGAAACCGCTTTCAGATATGCAGAATACTTATTTATGTAGCTGGATTTTCATTTGCCTATGGCTGTAAGACATTTCATTTAGCTGCAACCATGTGCTGAAAGGATGTAGAGCATGGCTAGCCTTTGTTGCGGTGTGTTTGGATGCTTTCCTTCTTTCTAGATGGGTTGATGAACTTTTTAGTTTTTGTTTTGCCCTTCATTAAGCCATGTATTTAACTGTCAAATGAACATTTATTTATAGTTATGGCGTATTGCTGTGGGAACTCCTTACGGGAGAAGTTCCATACCGAGGCATTGATGGTCTTGCTGTGGCTTACGGTGTTGCTGTCAATAAGCTTACTTTGCCCATTCCATCCACATGTCCCGAACCATTTGCTAAACTAATGAAAGGTACTTGTGCTGCTTATTAAAAAGGGGGGGGAAAGTTGCTATGAGATAACTCGCATGTTGTCCATAATATGTGTACATTTTTTTTTAGTTTTAGCATTTCATTTAGAAATGTCATCACTTACATTAAGGTATAGAAAACACCAGCTTCCCATTTCATTTTAGTCCAGTACTAAAAACGGTTTTTTAACGCGTTCAGCAGTGGAACGTAATTTCATTTTAAAAGCTGCATTCATCTTTGAAAGTGCTTTCTTGCTCATTTATTCATTAGTTATATTCTGCCCTTCCTCCAAAGAAGCTCAGAATAGCAGTGTAGCCTCACCACAGCCTGTGACGTAGCTCAGGTTAAGACAGTGTGGCTTAGAATCTTAGGACTGTAGAGTTGGAAGGAGCAGTGATGATCATCTAGTAGTCCAAACCCCTGCGATGCAGGAATATGCAGCTGTCCCGTACGGAGATCAAACCTGCAGCCTTGGTGTTCTCAGCACTGACCTCCAACCAACTGAGCTACTTGCTTAGAGTCTGCCAGTCAGTGCAGTTAATGCTCAAAGTTAATGAAAAGTTACATCGGAAGCAGTTTATTTTGTTGGTGTAGCATGATTTTCTCGATGCAGGATGTTTGCGGATCTACAAATTGAATAATTCATATTGGGGAAGTGAAGGAATCCTTATTTTTAAAAGCTCTTGTGTGCCATCCTTCCATATTCATCGTTTGAGCCTGTATTAATCTATAGGACATGGGTCTGTGCCTTCGGGTCACCGTTGCAAAAAGAAGATGGTGTGAGACCCAGGCGAAAATGCGCATGGTGAATATATTTGTGGTCTCACTTTTTGAAAGTGAAAGGACCGTAAGTTATTTAACAGGTCATGCCTAAAATAATCTGTGCATGCATCCAAGTCACGTGCTACCTTTTATACATAGCTCTGGACAGTCTGAGGAAATTGCCTCATTTAATGCAATCTCAAGCAAACCCTACTCTACCAAGAAAATGCTCTATTAATTGTTCTGAGTTTTGTTTAGGAACAGTGTATAAATGTTCCAAAAGAAATGCTAAAAAAATTTAAAAATGATTTTTTAAAAGCTGCCAAACTACAGGGAACCAGGCAGAGGGCCTTCTTGGTAGTGGCATCTGCCCTGTGGAATGCCCTCCCGCCAAATGTCAAAGAGAAAAGCAGCTACCAGACTTTTAGAAGACATCTGAAGGCAGCCCTGTTTAGGGAAGCTTTTAATGTTTAATAGACTACTGTACCTTAATATTCTGTTGGAAGCCGCCCAGAGTGGCTGGGGAAACCCAGCCAGATGGGCGGGGTATAAATATGTTATTATTATTATTGTCAGATTTTGTTCCCTGTTCTTCTAACTGATGCAATTGATGAATTTTAGTGTGCTGGGCTCAGGATCCCCATATCCGACCGCCCTTTACCTTGATTCTTGAGCAGCTTACTGCCATCGAGGGGGCTGTTTTGACTGAGATGCCTCAGGAATCTTTCCATTCCATGCAAGATGACTGGAAACTGGAAATTCAACAGATATTTGATGAGCTGAGGACCAAGGAAAAAGTGAGTGAATTGGATCTTTTCCCCTCTTAATTCTTGGTACTCTTTAACTCTTTTAAATTGCTCTTTTATCCTTGCGCCGTGGTGTATAGTCAGGACACATTGGGCTTAATGGCAGGTGGGATTGCCAAAGTCACCCCGCTTTTTATTTTTTATTTTTTTGCCATGTGCGTAAAGCTGAACACACACAAGTCGTGGGCTTACTATATACAAATGTATATGTAATTGTTTAAAAGTTGGATGACTAATCATATATAAAAAACAAAGCCTTCGTTGGGTGAACAACTAATTGTGAAGAAAAGAAGCTTCTGTATAACTTGAAATCTTGCCTTTTCCTATATGTATACACACACACACACACACACACTACACTGGGCTAACTATTCTTTTGTTACAAATATTAATGGGAAACTTCCTAAGCTACCATCCAAGTTGACTTTCATAGTCTACATTAAAAGTTTTTATGCAGAAAAAGTAAGGGAGCCCTTGGGGCACTGGCATGCCTACTAGATCTTAGTTATCTGGCATTGTATTTAATAATAATAATAATAATAATAATAATGTAAAGGTAAAGGTACCCCTGCCCGTACAGGCCAGTCTTGACAGACTCTAGGGTTGTGCGCCCATCTCACTTAAGAGGCCGGGGGCCAGCGCTGTCCGCAGACACTTCCGGGTCACGTGGCCAGCGTGACAAGCTGCATCTGGTGAGCCAGCGCAGCACACGGAACGCCGTTTACCTTCCCGCTGGTAAGCGGTCCCTATTTATCTACTTGCACCCGGGGGTGCTTTCGAACTGCTAGGTTGGCAGGCGCTGGGACCGAACGACGGGAGCGCACCCCGCCGTGGGGATTCGAACCGCCGACCATGCGATCAGCAAGTCCTAGGCACTGAGGTTTTACCCACAGCACCACCCACGTCCCTATAATAATAATAATAATAATAATAATAATAATAATTTTATTATTTATACCCCACCCAGAGTGACAGGGTTTCCCCAGCCACTCTGGACAGCTTACAGCATATATAAAAAATATATAAATAAATAAAAACATCAACCATTAAAAACCTCTTTATACAGGGCTGCCTTCAGATGTCTTCTAAAAGTCAAATAGTTGTTTATTTCCTTGACATCTGAAGGGAGGATGTTCCACAGGGAGGGAGTCATTACCAAGAAGGCCCTCTGGCTGGTTCCCTGTAAGCTCAGTTCTCACATTGAGGGAACCGCCGAGGCCCATTTTTCTTTTCCTCTTCTGCAGTCTACTTGCTAAAATAATAATTTAGAGTCACATTTCAGAACACATTGTGGAGGTTAACAAAAAACAAACCAAATCGATGAGGGAAACAATGTCCCAAATTCCCATTTGTCCTTAATTCAACAAAGCCCGGCTAGAGTCTGGTTGACCACCTCTTTTAAAAATAGCCTTGGTGTGGAAAGAGGGAGATTTCACCCTATCTCCCTCTTGTTTGAAAAGTTGTCAGGTAAAATACTTACAGATTTTTTTTCCATCACATGGCAGAAAACTTGTGTCCTAACTAGTATTTCTATAACTATTGTTAGGAGCTGAGGTCACGAGAAGAAGAGTTAACAAGAGCTGCTCTCCATCAGAAGTCACAAGAAGAGTTGTTGAAGCGGCGTGAGCAGCAGTTAGCAGAACGGGAGATCGATGTACTGGAGCGAGAACTCAATATTTTGATATTCCAATTAAACCAAGACAAGCCCAATGTGAAGAAGAGAAAGGGAAAGTTCAAAAAAAGCAGATTAAAGCTTAAAGATGGTCACAGAATCAGTCTGCCTTCAGGTTTGATTTTCCTCATCTATGCAGATTTATTTAGGATGGCTACTACATTTGCAGATTTCAAATATTCGGCTGTAAGTTTCAGAGGTTGCTATTGAAAGGTTAGATACAATACTGATATCATATTATGCATTTCAGTGTGACAAATGAGCAACGTTTTGAAGATATTGAGGGGTTAGCACAGACCTCCCTTGTGTTTGATTTAGAATTTTGTTCTACCAGCCAATCAAACTTCCTGAATTGGGAAACCAAATATACTGGGGAATGTTGCTTTGAAGTAGAATTCTGGTAGGGAATTCCCCTGTTGATAACATATTATATCTTTGTTCACTCCAAAGTATTAATTACTGGTGTGTCAAGGGTTTGTGAAAGAGCAGCAAACATGGATTCCTTCCTCTGCTCAGTAGCTGTGGCTGCTGTTCTTCCTGTACCTGTTTACCCGGGAGTAAGATCCTCTAGATTCAAAGGGTCTTACTAGGATTGTGTTGCACTTAGTGACAATTAAATATGAGCCAACATGAAAAGCAGTGCACCACTGCTGTGTTGAAGCAAGGTTGTGATTATGTTGTAAAAACACTGCACCAGGTTCTTTAGAGGTAGGCAAAATTGCAGGTACAACGAATAATCAATTTTGTGTTTATACAAAATGCCTGTAACTATTGTTATATGTAAAGAAGTAGCATGTTAGTTTGAATTTGGGTTTTTATTTTATCATACAAATACATTCTTCTCCTATTTATAATAGATTTTCAACACAAGATAACAGTGCAAGCCTCCCCGAACCTGGATAAGCGAAGAAGTTTAAACAGTAACAGCTCTAGTCCACCAAGTAGCCCCCTAATAATTCCCCGTCTTCGAGCTATACAATGTAAGTCTAAATTAGGTATTGCCCCCCTCCCTCCTATCTTGATTTTCTTAATCTGGAATGACTGAACTCTCCTGATTTTGCAGTACATTTTAAGACAGCCTAAGTCTGAAATCCTATAGCCACTTAGCCGGCAGTAAGCCCTATTGAATTCAGTGGGACTTACTTCCAATCAAACATGTATAGGAGTATACTGTAAAGTATTGTTATCCAGTACGAGGTGAAGATATGATAGTTTAAAATAATGGACAGAAAATTCTCAAATTCATGAAAGATTTTGTTATTAGTTTCAGAGTTATTGCGCACTGTGGTTAGCATTAACAATGGTAATGAGATAGTGACTTAAAGTTTAACTATGTTAGAGGCTTAATTTAGGCATTCCACCAAACCATGGTTTCTGGTAACTATAGTTTACAGCTGCAAACCATGATTTGAGCTTCTGATCCAAACTGGTTTAGAGCTGCTTTTTTGCTTCCCTTTCCCACCTGCTCAGCATTCCTATCTCAAGGTGCTGTGGCATTTGGAGGTAGTGTGATGCCCACAATTATGGCTGGTCAGTTCAGAAAACCTGAAGACTGCAGCACCTTGGATTGCAAACTAGCCATCAACTTCTGATTCTGGTTTCCTAGCATCTTACAAACCATGGTTTGTCAATTTGGGCTGTGCAATTAAACACAAATAGCCTCTGGTTGTTGCTTGGTGTATGAATTGTGCCCAAGACTGGACTTGTAGGATTTTAAATAATGTTATTCATATATATATGAGAAAAGAAACATGAATATAGGTGGGCAGTTTGCTGGAATGCATCTTGAGATTTTCAGTAGAGTTACTGTATGTTGTGTGTGTCTGCCTGCCTCTGTGCACGCATGAAGGGACTTTTACATTCAGCTTAGTTCCAAGTGTTTTCCCCTTTCACACAGCCTAACACTGGTTAATTATTCAGTGTCTTCTGTTTGAGGGTAATAAATTATCACTCCTGTTTCCCAGAAATGAAAGGGGCTATTGTCTGTCTGCCGTTCAACCTGGATGTCTTGTAAACAAAAGATTATTTTCTTCTCTTTGAGCAGCATTTTCTTAATCCTTTGTTCCCATTATCTTCTGTTCTTTCAGACTTGATAGATAAAGCTGAAGGGGAGTTCTTACAGACATTTAACTTGTGTACTTATTTGGCTGAAGCTGAAGCTGTTTTCTTATTCTGTGGTACATTTTCTCCCTTCACCTAATTTTGGGCTGCACTGCAGTGACATAATGGAAGGAATGGGAGCCCCTTCAATACAGTTTAGAAACAGAGGTCTAGTCACCTTTGTCTGGAAATGAAATTCCAAGGCCTATCACATCAGGTTTTTAATGAAAATAATCAAAAGGGCTATAAAACGCAAATTCTTCCTCATGCAGGATTTATTTTTAACTGTTGGTAATGCTTGTAATCAGGCTTTATTGATTTGATTTTTATAAAGGTCGTTACCAACTTGGAAGTTTTCTGAAGAAGGAGAGGTTATATCTCTAAATTTGGTTTCTTTAGACAATTATACATTGGAACTATATGTTAAATATTCCTTAGACTGTGAACCCAGTCTTGAATATTTTTGAGAGACTCCTTGAATTGGGCAGATTTTGTAAACGAGTTTGTAAGTCTGCAAGCTTCCCACCACCACCATAATCCTTCTCAAGAACATAAAATGTTAGAGTTAAAATATTAGAATTGCCTGGGATCTACGGAACTGAGAAGAAAAGAACATATGCTGGCTGTTATGGAGTCTGTGGTGTGCAAGCCCTTGAAGGGGCCACATGCACATTAGGCCAAATCCTGCATAGAGGTTGTTCCAAGGAGTCTTGGGATATGTACAGTGGTGCCTCGCAAGACGAAATTAATTCGTTCCGCAAGTTTTTTCTTCTTGCGAGTTTTTCGTCTTGCGATGCACGGTTTCCCATAGGAATGCATTGAAAATCAATTAATGCGTTCCTATGGAAACCGACTTCAGACCAGGTCCGGGGACAATCTGTCCCCCGACCTCTTCTGAAGGCTGGGGGGGCGAAAGTCTTTGCTCCCCCCCCCATGGCAGCATTTTAAAATCGCCCCGGACAGCGGAGGACTTCTCCGCTGTCCGGGGCGATTTAAAAGCCCTCCCGGGAAGGCAGCCAGGGGGGACAAAGATTTTCGCCCCCCGCCAGCCTTCAGAAGAGGTCCAGGACCTCTTCTGAAGGCTGGCGGGGGGCAAAAATCTTTGTCCCCCCTGCCTGCCTGCCTTTAAAAGCCCTCCCGGGAGAGGGGAGAAACGCAGCACGTTTCTCCGCTCCCCCGGGAGGGCTTTTAAAGGCAGGCAGGCAGGCAGGCAGGGGGGACAAAGATTTTCGCCCCCCCGCCAGCCTTCAGAAGGCTGGGGGGGCGAAAGTCTTTGCTCCCCCCCCCCACGGCAGCATTTTAAAATCGCCCCGGACAGCGGAGGACTTCTCCGCTGTCCGGGGCGATTTAAAAGCCCTCCCGGGAAGGCAGGCAGGGGGGACAAAGATTTTTGCCCCCCGCCAGCCTTCCCCTCTTTTAAAGCAAGGGGCGGCAACGGGGAGAAGATCGCTTCTCCCCTTTGCCGCCCCTTGCTTCAAAAGGGGTCCGGGGGGAGAGAGAGGAAGGCGCGCGCCTTTCCCTCTGTCCCCTCTTTTGAAGCAAGGGGCGGCAACGGGGAGAAGATCGCTTCTCCCCTTTGCCGCCCCATGCTTCAAAAGGGGTCCGGGGAGAGAGAGGAAGGCGCGCGCCTTTCCCTCTGTCCCCTCTTTTGAAGCAAGGGGCGGCAACGGGGAGAAGATCGCTTCTCCGCGTTGGCGCCCCTTGCTTCAAAAGAGGTCCGGGGAGAAAGGGGAAGACGCCAGCATTTTAAAAAACCTTGGGACAGCGGGGGACTTCTCCTCTGTCCGGGGCGAATTTAAAATGCTGGCGGGTGGCAGCGAAGCCTTCGCTGCCGCCCGCCAGCATTTTAAAAAACCTCGGGACAAAGGAGAAGTCCCCCGCTGTCCCGGGGTTTTTTAAAATGCTGCTGGGCGGCAGCGCTGCCGCCCGCCAGCATTTTAAAATCGCCCCAGACAGCGGAGAAGTCCTCCGCTGTCCCGGGGTTTTTAAAAAACCTCTCCGCCCCCCGCCAGGCTTCGGAGCAGCCTTCCGAAGCCTGGCGGCGGGAGGAGGTCCGAGGACAGTGGGCAAGACGCCCTGTCCCGGAGATTTCCCTATGGGCTTTCGTCTTGCGAAGGAAGCCCATAGGGAAATTCGTTTTGCGAAGCGTCTCCAAAACGGAAAAACCTTTCGTCTAGCGGGTTTTCCGTCTTGCGAGGCGTTCGTCTTGCGGGGTACCACTGTATACAGGAGATATTTTTTTTCCCTAATGCAGTCACCTCCTGTAGAAATGGATCTTTGTATCCCAGTAATTGGATTCCTGTGATTGTAATCTGAACAGAGAGCATTAAAAACCCAGAAAAAGTTACAGTGTAACTTTACCAGTTTTGTTTTCCTCATACATGTATGCCACCTAAATCTATTGTACATCATCCAATGGGCTGGATCTTGGAATGACAAGTAAGAGAAAGCTTGCAGAAGAGGATTTGCCTTGTCCTTCCTTTGCACTGCAACTTCTTGAAATTCCAGAAGATCTCTGACCCTCAGAGTGACTTTTGGTCAGGCAGAGGACCAACTGTGTATAGAAAGGGGTGCAGAAGTATCATTCTGCAAGGTTTCTTCCACTCAGAGTCCAGTCCAATATGTTTAGGAAAAATTAGGGAAGGTATAATGAGTATATAGGGATTGGGGGGGGGGGTTATAATTCTCTCAACCCTATATGGCCAAGCTACTAACTACATTCCATCTAAACATGCTTCATTCCTGTTTCTGTGTTGTATAATAGTATTGTGTGGCACAGCAAGACTTCACTTAGTAAATAATTATTATTTTCCCTATTGTTAGTTATCTGGGCAACGTACAAAATAGCTCTTGTCAGTGTGGCTGCCCAATCCTCTTTGCTGTATCAGTGCAACATTGTGGCCAGGTTGTTACACTGGATTAGATGAAACATGATGACTATAGCATGGTGTCATGTCTGACCTGGAAAGCTGCCACAACACAATACATATTGCACTATTTCAGCAGCTGTTATATCCAGTCCTAAAGATTTGTTGTTGATGGTGGTGGTGCTGTCAACCATAGGATTTGAATGCTTAAAAATGGATCACAAAGTAATCAGCTGTGAACACTTACCTCTCATCTCCATGAGCTGGAGAAGCTATTCCTAGGATGAATGGAAGGCCTCTGTGCTTTGGGATGCCTGGTTAAGAATATGGTATTTGCTTAATACCAAGCTGAAGCGCAACTTGGTATTTTCATCTCTATTCTCTTAATTGTTTCTTCAGTGATTTCCAAAACTGACCCAAATACAGCTAATGGGCAAAGAAACAGTATATATGTGTACCATCAAGATGTAGATATCACAAGCGAATATGAACTTCCCAGTGGGGTTAAGAAAAAAGGCAAGACCACATTAAATCCTAAAAGGTGTTGGTTAAATTAATTTCTAAGCTAAATTTGTATGCACTGATAGCCTGAGCACTTACTTGGATATCCATTCCAGAGATTGTGTTTCAAATGAATGCAAATGCATTAACTGTATATTATGACTTCGCCCTATTAAGTTATATCACAAAAGGCATTACTCTATATGTATATCTGATACAAGTGCTCAGTAACTATAGCTTGCCAAGATGTATAAAGAAAAATCAAAAGCATGAAAAGAAATCGGATATTTTCTGTTGATTGGCTTAGTTTCTTTTCTTACCTCCTACCTTCATAGATGAAATAACTCTTTGCCTGCTTGAATTTGATTTTATCTTAGCTGTCCTTTAATTGGGGGGCAGGGGTAATCTTTTTTACAGTAGCATAATGTGAATGCTAAAGCATCGGGTATTTTCGGATATGCACTGCCATAAAGCCATACTGCTTGGAATTGCTCTTGAGATCTTTCATCTTTCTGCAGTGACCTCGGATGAGAGCAACAAAACGTGGGGAAGGAGTACAGTTTGTCATCAGGAAGAATTTGAAGATGTCAAGCGAGGCTTCAAAAAGAAAGGATGCACATGGGGGCCAAGCTCAGTTCAAACAAAAGAGCGTACGGATTGTAAAGAGAGGTATGGCTGCCATGTGGCATGAGGGATGCAATACAAAGGTGGTGTTTTGTGGTTGTTTTTGTTTTGATAAGCTTATATCCTGTCCTTTACCTGGAAGGCTCAGGGCTGTTTAGAATAAAATGAACGCAACAGCACCTTAATAAAAACCAGTATGCATATGCAAAATTATACACAGTGGTACCTTGGGTTAAGTACTTAATTCGTTCCGGAAGTCCATTCTTAACCTGAAATTGTTCTTAACCTGAAGCACCACTTTAGCTAATAGGGTCTCCTGCTGTCACCGCGCCACCACCGCACAATTTCTGTTCTCATCCTGAAGCAAAGTTCTTAACCCACGGTACTATTTCTAGGTTAGCGGAGTCTGTAACCTGAAGCGTATGTAACCTGAAGCGTATGTAACCCAAGGTACCACTGTATACATTTTATAGTATATTTGAATCTTTTTGATCTGTAGTCTTGACTTTTGCCCATCATGGCTAGTTGGGGATTGCCTGGGGAGGGAACTGTATTAGGGGCCTTGAAGGAAGTGGTGGAGTAATGATTCTTGAAGAAGCCCACTCTGGACACTGAAGTGTTCAACACACACACACACACACACACACACACACCTTCTGTGTACTGTGCACAGAGTAATCTGGGAGTACTGAAGCTGGTTTGTTTAAATTATCCATACTTAATGCTGACTCTGATTCCAGATTGGACAACAAAGGAAGCTGTGGTTAATTAAAACAGGAGTGAAATCTTCTGAACAAAAGAGAGGGCAGAGGGAGCACTCAGGCCTGGAGCTTGTTCTGGCTCATTCCTTCTTGTGCACAGCACACAAAACCATGGTTTGGTGTGATGCACAAATATAGCCAAATGTGTTGAAAAATCACAGTCAACAAGTACAACTGAACTAAATGAGGCTTACAAAACCATACTTATTTTCCATCTTATAGTGGCTAAACCTGTGTGGGCTTATTCCTGATGCAGGTCCAGTTAGGATGCATCTGTCTATGCCTAATTGAACAGCTGTAATCAGTGCTTTTTTCTGGGGGGACGCAGGGGTACACATACACCTAAACATTTTGTGAATCTAAGTTTGGCCTCATTGAGGGGCAGTATTTCAATATGAGTAGGAAAATGAGAGTACCCCTAAACATTTTTTAAAGAAAAAAAGCACAGGCTGTAATGAGTAAGAGTCAGAAATTCTGGCAGCAAAATTCAAACGCTGTGAGGAGGGCAGAGGGCAGAGACATTCTCTTACTTGAAAACATCCTAGGTTTTTAACTCAATGCAAACATGAATTACTGGAGTTTTAAGGCACACAATTTGAGGCATGCCAGGGGTTAAACATTCAGAGATGTCTTGTTCAGATTTATTCTGAAAAAAGTGCACCCACTTCACCCACTTCGTTGCTTGAAGAAAATGTTGAGAACCATCAATTATACAAAAGTCCTGTGGCTTAGCTGCAAACTACTGACTCTGGATCTCGAAAATGAATAGGTTTTATCTCTTAATGCAGTGCAGGAAAATGAATAGTTTCAAACTCCTGGTTAACATTGTAACATTTGTATCAGAGATGTGGGTTTTCCAGAAAACCTTGAATTGGAAGATTTTCCACTGTCCTAAATCACTGAAGATTTGATTCAACAAGTTTATAGGAGAATAGGTAAAGGTAAAGGTACCCCTGCCCGTACGGGCCAGTCTTGCCAGACTCTAGGGTTGTGCGCCCATCTCACTCTATAGGCCGGGGGCCAGCGCTGTCCGGAGACACTTCCGGGTCACGTGGCCAGCGTGACAAGCTGCATCTGGAGAGCCAGCGCAGCACACGGAACGCCGTTTACCTTCCCGCTAGTAAGCGGTCCCTATTTATCTACTTGCACCCGGGGGTGCTTTCGAACTGCTAGGTTGGCAGGCGCTGGGACCGAGCAACAGGAGCGCACCCCGCCGCGGGGATTCGAACCGCCGACCTTTCGATCGGCAAGTCCTAGGCGCTGAGGCTTTAACCCACAGCGCCACCCGTGTCCCTATAGGAGAATATATATAAATAAAATAGGTCGTGCTCTGTTTGTATACTGTAGGAATGTCCTGAAATTTTTGTTTTCAATCGCCAAAAGTAGTTGAACTGAAATGTTTCACTGCAGGAAAAGGGTGGGTGGGATTAAATAAAGTCCAAATCATTTGTTTCAAGCAAGCCAACTTTTAAGTGCTGCATAGGAACTGCAATAATAGCCAGATCATGTTCTGTTGTTTAGCAGACGACAACAGGTCCTGATAAGGTTTTTTGTTTACTTAGCTATCTGTTTATCAAGAGTGGTTTTCTTCATACTAAAGATTTTCTCTTGTTTCAGAATAAGACCCCTCTCAGATGGAAGTAGTCCTTGGCCAACACTTTTGATGAAGAATCAGAAAGGTGTTCCTTTAGCATCTTTGTTCATAGACCAAGGTGAGTGTGCATACTATATATAGTGATATATTATAGCTATATATGGAAATATTCCTTTTGTTTTTCTAGATCTTGTGGGCATCAGCACTCAGAATTAAACATGGAGTAGTTAAAAACCCTAAAATAGAAATATTCTAAATGAGATTTAAGGTGGAACCATGTTCAGAGACAAAACCATGTTCACACGTAATGATAAGCCAGACTTTCTGGCTTCTTGTGGCTTGCTGAGAACAGACAACAAACCACGGCTTTAAGGTGGCTTGCAACTGTGGCTTGTTAGAGAGAAGCAAGCCACAGCTTCTGATTTGGACATGAAGCATAGGGGAGAAGTAATGATGGAGCAATTGGACAGTGTGCACTAATAATCTGCTCATTTTCAGTAAGTCATACTAAGCCAGAAAACCTAGCTTGCCATGATGCGCAAATGTGACCAATGTCCAGTCATTGCCATGTGATGTAGCCAGCAGCAAATCATGATCCAGTAGTCTTGTCACGAACCTGGAAGTTTTTAAATGGAGAAGCTTGGGGTTTCACATGGGGTTTCACGTGCAGAACATGAGCTCCACCACTGAGCAGAATTTCAACTTTATTTGTCTTCATGAGACATTCATGAACACAGGAGAAATAGCAAAATAGATGGCATGACCATACAGCCCACAACTACATTCTTAAAAAACCACTAAAACCAAAGAAATTTGCCATCTAGCTCTTCAGAAGGGCAGTTTATCTGGGTGGTCAAGTTGAAAACCAGTTGCTTTATTGTTTACTTGTGTGTGATTAAGGTTTCTACTTAAGCAAGCCATGTGATACATGATAGCTTCTCCTCTTATTCTTTTTGGTGTTTGAATGCACTTCACAACTCGGCGGGATATTACAGTTGCTAAGCTTTTTTTTAACTACATACTGGTAGTGAAAAAAAGAATGTTATACTTGAATGTGAACAACTTAATGTCTCTATACAGAGCAGAGGCTTTCCTCTGAAGGTCTGGATACTAAGCGACCAAAGCAATTAAAATTGCCAAATCAGGCCTACATCGATCTACCTCTTTGGAAGGATGACCAAGGATTTAATTCTGCAGAACAGGAGAGCTCCGAAGAAAGAAATTCAGCAAGTTCTGCAAATAGCACTCCACAAATGACCCCTACAAACAGCCTCAGCAGAACATTTCAGAAAAAGAAAACTGACACAGTGCTTTATGGATGCGGGGTCCTCCTTGCATCCGTAGCACTGGGCGTGGATATTAGGGAGCTGAACAGATTTCAGGCTCCTGAAGAAGTACTGCCCAAGGAGGAAAAGAAAAGGCGTGATGGAATATTTCAGCGAGCTTCCAAGTTTCACAGAAGTGCAAGCCCTGTAAGGTTGCAGCCCAAGAAGGAGGAAGCGCACGTCCCTTCACTATGTCCACCCGCAAGTACTGTGAACCTTTTCTCTCTTTCTTCTGCTTCCACTAAATGCCTCCTTCAGTCTGACAGTGAAGATACCATTACGAGCACGCTGCCCTTTAACAGAGATGCTCCCATTAGACACTTTTTGTCTGAAAGTCCTGCGAGTAAAAGAGAACAAATGGCCAAAGCTGATCCTGCTGCTGATTCTAATGTGCCATCTCCCCATCTTCCTTTGAAGGAAGAATCTCAATTCATATCCAATGCCTCTTCCTCAAAAGCGAGAGCTTTGGGCCACAGACGAACCGTGTCAGATGGAAACCCATGCCATGCCATAAGTGAGTAGCAAAATCAATCAATCAATCAATCAATCAATCAATCTGTAATTTGTTTTGTTTTCTTTACTGCAACGAAGAAAGTACTCTGACATGATGATGACTATTATTATCATTATTATCAATATAAAAACACAAAGATGCATGCCATAGTAACAAACAAAAGCAATAACCTTACCCCACACAATTTAAAAGGCCATAGATTGTTTAATTAGCATAAAGCCTGGGAGAAGAGGAATGTTTTTGCTTGGCATCTAAAGATATGTAACACACGCACCTAGTTAGCCTCTCTGGGTAGAACATTAAATAGATTTAATGTAATCTATTATACAGCTGCCTTACTTTTCAATTTGCTAAAAACGTTAGCTAATTTCTAATATATATATTAAGAGGAAGCTGACCCGTTGATGTGCATAATAACTGGCTGTTATGTGCATTCACTAGGCTTCATGGAGAATGTGCATATAATCCTTCCATGAAGAAGGAATTGTGCATATTTCCCAGTCAATATATATAATCCCCAACAGGCCTTGGAAAATGTACATGCAGTGATGGACTTTTATACGTTCTCCGGCCATTATGCATAATTTCCACTAGGCTTTGGGGAATGTATATATTTTGAGGCAGCGGGCCAAAAGCAGCCCAGAGAGCACAGACTGCACACTTCTGAACAAGAAATAATAATAACAGGACATGGTTTTTGGATATTATGCAAAGTGACTAGAGAGTGTGCATATGGCTGAGTGAATGTACAAAATATTCCACAGTGCCTGCTGGAGATTATGCATGGTGGCTGGAGAATGTGCAAAATTCAGCAGAGATGTGCACATTCCCTGTCTTTGAATGTTGCCTGATCAAAATACATGTCAATGTCATCATGGAAGGATTCTCCATTCTCCGTTGGTCCTGGTGAATGTGTACAACAGCCGGTTATTGTGCACATTAACTGCTCATCTTAAGTTCCCCTTAGCATATACACTGTATATGCACTGTCCTAGGCTTGTTTTAAATTTGTCTTTGTTGCCTTTCCCCTCCACTCTAGGTAATGGAATTGCTAATGGGGCTCCGGAGAGTGTGCACTGCCCATCTCTCCAGCAGAGAAGCAATCCTTCACCTGTAAAGCAAGGAATTGTCAACATTATACCAAGACCTCGACCCTCTTCTCTAAGAAGTCGGCTAGATCCTTGGCAGGCTATTCCACAACGTCGGAAGTCAAGCCCTTTTGAGTCTGACAGTTCAGAGCGTGATAGAGGTTCAACGGTTAACTCACTGACAGACACTGATGAGAGAACTAAATCCCATATGCCATCTTTGCTGGATATTGATGTAGAAGGTCAAAACAGTGACTCTACAGTGCCTCTGTGTAGGTTGAAGAGTAAAGCGTGCCGGCCATCAATATATGAACTGGAGAGAGAATTCTTGTCTTAAGTGCCTTGATTTTTTCCCCTGTGCCCTTTTTAAAGAAACATTTTCTGTGCATGACAACTTTATGCTGCTTTCCCCCTAATCTTTTTGACCAATAGTGCTGGTATTTCACCAGGCAGAAAAACATTAAATATAGAAAGAATATACAGTGGAAGGGTTGCTCTGCAACACCCGTACGTGATGTGAGTGTTTAATAACAGTATTCTGAATGAATATGCGTGTGGAATTCATTTAATTCCTCACAATTTTAATTTACCTTTACCTAGTTGCAGAACGGCAGGCCCTTTTTACCTTTGGCTTTTTCTCATTAACAATGATCTGCTATATCCTAAAGTCCAGTTGCAGCCAATGGAAGTTTTGTCTGCAGGCAAAAGAAAAGTAGGATTTTACCCAAGGAATTACTTGTAATCAAACATGGAATTGTTCAGAAGTATGCAGCTTTTCAATTCCCAGTTGAAACGTAATTTAATTAGGCAATCCCCCAAAGGCAGTAACTGTTAAAAATAAGAACTTTTAAGAGCTTTCGCAAGGAAACCCATCATATAATGGCAATGATACACTGCTGTGTAGATATACATGTGTATGGTTTCCTTTTTAAAAATAAATAAGGTAAATATTAATATTAACTTGATCACAATTTCCAAAATCAGCGGTACTTCTGAGTAAGGTTATGGGAAACAAATGGAAAAGACAGGCACTTTCAAACTGATTTTTTCCCCTGTTTCACTGTGCTTAATCTCTTGTAGAACTGAAAATGCTGTTAGAGAATCTTAATTACGGGAAAAGTTCCAGTGAAACACACGTTTTGCTTTACTGTGCCAATCATAATTTTCTTAAATTCCTTTATGGTCTTTTAAAGTCTAATGTCTTATAGATCTGGATTCTTATTCAGCATGCACTACAGTATGTGAAACAGAATGCAGTAAGAATTTCACAGTAACAATTACCTATTGAGAGAAAGATGCATTTCAAACTGTGTGAGCAATTTAAGTGAATTCCTGTTTTGGCCAGTTATAACATTATAGCATTCATGTGAAATAAATTCTTGAAGGTATTTTAAGATATTGAGGCATTATTAAAATGTAAAATGGATAGGTTTTCTGAAATTGATTCTTCTAAATTAGAAGTTGTTCAGAAGTGGTGCCCTTTTGGTAGATTTGCATATGAAGCAGAAATGAAATTGCCTTTTAATGGAGCATCGTTAGTATTTTTACCTGTGCGTCTTCCTGTTCCTTTAAGGACTTTGTCTGCAATGCCAAGGACCCCAGTGCATGAGTAGGAAGCCCTTTTTCTCACCTGTGTGCGCATGTGCTAGTCTTTGCTTTCTTTCTGTAGCTTTCGCACCACTTTGAGTCCCACTCCAGAAGGTCTTCTGACATTCAAGAGCATTGTGGGGTGGGGAGTGCCAAGAGCCCCCAGTGTAAATGGGGAACACAATACACAACCCTTTGGATTCTACCTTTTATTTCAATAATTAAGCGTAAGGTTTGACTGTGCATTGTGAATTTTGAGACAATGGAACCCACCACTGAAACCACAGTCTTCTAATCCAAAGCCATAGATGGCATTCCATATTCAGCTAAGGTTCCATAGCAAAACGGACATGTTAATTCTGAAGGACATGAGCTGCAACTGTACGTTGTATTTTGTTGACATGTTAAAGGTTTTCCGTTTTAATTTGTTCAGAGTGGTGAACAATCTCCTTGGGGCAGGGAGAGACTAAAGAGAAGAAATTACAAATGTTTCTTTGGACTTAAAGTATTATGTCTGCTCAAAAATTTTAAGACACATGGCCTGCTAGTTGTAAGTTGTGTTGTCTTTGTCTACTAGATAGTAATTAAGTTATTTTATTTGTTTATTGATTATTGTTTCTCTTCAAAGCATTTTATATTTCTGTCAGTTTCTTCTTTTGAAAAAAAACCTTAGGTGCTGCATAGACTGAAAATACTGAAGTGTCTCTGTTAGTCTTTTTCTGCTTCCATCTGCGATCGTCACACTTTTGCCAATACAAAGTTGCCCCTTTGTATTGGGTAGAGCAGGGGAAGAGAACAATCCGGCCAGTGGGCCAGATTCCACTCATCCCACCCTGCCAGCCAAATTTGACAGATGGGTAGGGCCACTCACCTGCCAAGCACCTGGTGTCACAGTGATGTCTATGAGATCGTGGTTTGAAGTCCCAACAATCTGCTGACACTCGGAGCCCTGTGCTACATTTTGAAGCTTGACAATCAGCTGATCAGTGGGACTTCAAAGCATAGAGCAGGACTCTTTGCGAGTCGGGGGGGGGTGTTACTTTGAAATCCCAACAATCAGCTGCTTGTCAGGCTTCAAAGTGCTTGCAAAGAACCCTGCACTATGCTTTGAGGTACTGCTGATCATCACCACTTCACAAGCTCAGTACAGTTCTGAAGCGCTGTGCATGAGGCTTCTGACAATCAGCTGACTGGTGGCACCCCATAAGTCCCTTTTGGACCAGACCAGCTGCCTTTTACCTGTCCATACCTGACATCATATATGAACCTTTTTCATAGAATCATGAAATTGCAGAGTTGGAAGGGACCTTGAGGATCCTGTAGTCTGACCCCCTGCAATGTAGGAATATGCAGGTGTCCCATACAGGGATAAAACCTGTAACCTGCTGTTTTCTCAGCACCACATTCTAACAAACTGAATTACCCAGTGCCATGTGATTAGCAGGTGGACACGGCGTAGCCAAATGGCCTGGAAAGCCAAATGGGAAGGCCTGCTGTACCTAATTAGGCCCAAGGGCTGGAGGTTCACCACATCTGGTGTACAGTTCAATTGAGATTTTGTGCTTTATCATTTAAAACTTACAGTGATTTAGTTCTTTTATATAAAAGAACTCAGGTGTATAAGAAAATCTGGGAAAGCCTTGCATGTAGTTGGTGTGTATATTTGAAGTTTATGATAAACCCCTAGAGATCCGGAGACACTGTGTACGGTCCTTTTTTTTCTGGAATGAGAGACTAGTTTTGGATTGTGCAGTAATACGCCGCGGAGTTTGTTTCTCTTTGCCTTCGTCATGACTATCTCAGGTTTCACAATCAAATGCCTTGTAAATGTTTGTTTAAATCCATTTTTAAAAAATTCGTTTTCGCAATTAAAGTTAAATGGATGCTCTGTGAAGTCCCATTTATTTCGGTGAGAGGAAGATAAGTGTCTGCTTAGCACACTCATTTAAAATCATTGCATTGCATCCAGAGAAGATTGTTCTGACCTCTGCTCATGCAACAATGATACACACACACCCAGTGCAGCCTCCACAAAAAGCCTGCACACCTCCTCCCCCCCCCCCGGCAAAAAAAACACCCACTCCTGGGACAGGTCCTGAAAGTCTAGAGCAGGATGGAGTATGTGGAGGAATTGGAAGGAGCTGCTTTCTGATTGCAGGAGTGCTGTTGTTTTTCGCCCACTCATACAAATCGTCTGCCAGAGCTGCTGTATTTGAGGTACGTTCTATTTTGGCTGGATTGTGTAGTGGGTTCTGATTTCTTCATAAAACAGTATTGCCAAAAAGATGTGTGCCTGCCTGCCCAAATACCTGTCTAGAAGTTATGCTAAACATCAGTGGTAAAATGTAGAGCAATACTTTCAGGTAAATGTTAGGGAGTGCTTTGCATTGAATAAACTGCCCCAAAAATGAACTGGCCACAATAAAAAGATTTCTTTCGTTTGAAAAGTTTAAATCCTCATGACAATTGCATAATGCTTTCCTATCCAATTGTCTCCTGTCCCTTTGAACTGCATTATAACCACTTCCTCCTAATATAAAAGGCAAATATTACCAGTAAAGTTAATTGAGTTAATTAATAGGGTTAGACTCAGTAGCGTAATTCCATCCCATTTCAGTTTTGATCAATATTTTCTTCTTTTCTTTTTTGTAGATTTTTTCCAAAGGATGAAAGGATGCACAACAATACCCCGTTTAAATTGCACATTTTTAAAAAACTTGCATAAAACCTGCATTTTAAATGCATTCATAAAATAGTCTCTAAAATGTGCATTTTTTAAACGTAATATTCATGTTTTTGTGCGCTGAAACAGTGTAGTGAAATCTGGCCTAGTGAATAATCTGGGGATTGCATTCCAATTTCATTCCAATTTGCAAGCAAGATTGAGAGCCTCAAATCCAATTGGTCTGCGCCCAAAAGAATTCCAGACATTCTTCCTTTATCCCTATCAATATCTAAAGGACATAATTAATTAATTAATTTCTCTAGCGCCCTTCATCTGAAGATCACAGGGTGGTCTAAGGATATCTAAGGAGCCACCTCACTCAATATATCCCTGGTAACCTTGCTCCTCAAGTAGGCCACTGCAGACAGCACTACAGTGCCCCAGGCTGTTGTCGAAACAGGCTTTTAGTGTTGCAATTCCAGCTCCCTGGAATGAATTACAAGCCAAAATCATGACAGCCACCTCATGCTGGGATGTTTGAGAAGACTTTCCCCGAAGTGTGACCTGATCATTTACAGAATAGAAATTTTATAGCTAAGGAAAATGTTCTGTTGTTTCGGATTCCATGGGAATAACTTCATTGTTTATTGGTTGATTTGCTTTTAGAAACATTGAATAGATTTTATTATTTCCAGAGCTTGCATTTTTGTGTTTTGTCTGTTTTTATCTTGCACACCACTTTATGCTTTGAAGTGGCCTAATCCTAGCAGGTCATATTCTGTAGGCATATCCACTGGCGTAGACATGTTCCCATGGCCATTCTTCTGGACTGCTCAGAGGTGTTTGAGACCAGCTGCAGTAACCTCCCGGGCTCACCTTGTAGTGATGGGTTTGAGAAACACAGTTTAGGCAACTTTCATCATTTGTACAGAGATTGGCCTTTGTCCTACATGGTTCCACAAGATTCAGTTTTGTTGATTTTTCACCATTTAAAGCCCTATGCGGCTTAGGACCTGGGTGAAGGCTTTATGATACAGTCACCTGTAAAATGTGAATTTTGTACGCTTCCAGAGTTGCTCACAAACCTGTTCACTTAGGCCCTTCAGCTGTGGTTGGGTTCCAACTCCCATCAGCCCCATGGTCAATGGACATCTGGAGGGAAAATTGGTTCCCCATCTCTGCTTTAACTTGCAGCCGTACTCAGGCTATGCACCACTTTGCCTCTGTTTTATTAATCTATTTGTAAAATATTTTTCTGAGCAGCATTTGTTTGTTGTGGGGGAGGAAGGGAAAGGAGATTGTTAGCTGCTTTGAGACTCTTTAAAGGGAGTGAAAGGCGGGATATCAAATCCAAACTCTTCTTCTTCTTCTGGGATGGGGGGGGGTGTCCTGTGCCCTTCCATATGTTGCTTGAGTCCAACTTCCATCTTCATCCCTGACTATTAGCCATACTTTCAACTTCATACAATCATGAATATTATTATTATTTTAAAAAATGATGTTAAAATTATATATAACTTTGCAAGTGAAAGAAAATAATTGATGGCCCTTTGTGCTGCTGATTGTTCTCCAACAGCATTAAAGATGAAGTGAAGATTAATCTTTTTCTTCCCCAGGCCTACTGATATTTGGCAATTTTACAAACTGTGACAAGTGCAGTGACTGGGAAGGAAAATATGGTGCTTTGGGCATAATCGCCTCCAGCATCTTTCCATGTTCACTAGGTGGTAGTAATAGCCCTGTCACAACTCCCAGTAATGCTGCTCAGCAGAATACTTTGGCTGGCAAGGAGAGATTTAAGAAAAACGTCAGTGCCGTTTGCCATTCTGGAGATGTTCTCTGAGCTGGGACATAATGAGCACCTTCACACATGTATTTAAAAGCAGGTAGGGAGGTTTTCTATGGCAAACTAGGAAAGTCAATGATTTGGAAACTGGTTTGAAGGGATGAGTGTTGTCATAGATTAAAGCCCACATTTGCTTTGTTTTAAGCTTATAAAATGCTACGTCGTTGTTAAAACAATCCATTGTTATCTATGCTTAGTTTGAAGTGAGGCCCACTGAGTTCTGTGGGACAGTCACAAGTGTGGGATATTTAAAATGCAGTCAAACCCAACAATTCATGTTTTGCTAGATAGGCACATGATAGGAGCTGAAGCTCACAGAGTTTTCCTGTAAACTTGCTAGAGAGAACTCTGTGAGAGACACTCCCACTGGGCACTGGCAGGGAGGGCACAGCTATATATTCTCCTATCTTGCCAGGGCACACTCATCTTTTCCCAGCAATCTGAGAACTTCTACCTAATCTGAGCTCTAAGCTCAGATACCATTTTAAGCTAGACTTAAAGGAGGTTACAAAGGAGCTTACAAAGACGTATGTCTTTGTAACCTCCTTTGCTGGCAATTGGCATGAAATCCAAACAGAAAGACTAATCGATGAAGAGATTTGTGATCAGCAGCTCTGTGTGCAGTTTGTGCTTTCCCTTCTCTGGGAGCATCTTGGGCCAGCTTCACTGAAAATCAAGATCCCGATTTGCTACTAAAAGCAGAATGAGGCAGTATCATAGTAACCCTCCAAAGGTGTTTGTAGCATGTTGATCAGTGGGGTCTGCCATGCAACAGTGGTTAGCCCATCAGCAGAACAGACCATCCAGATTGGGGGAGGGGGGTACAAGCTAGCTGCAATGGGGAGAGGAGAGCAGGTCTCATTGTGTGAGTCCAAATCTACACCTGTCATTGGAAACCACCCCAAAATGCACAGTGTCACACTAAAGTCATGCTTTGGTCCACCATTTTAATCAAAATGGCACATTGCTCCGAAGCATCAGTGTAGACTGCCCCCCCCAAAAAAAAACACACCTCAAGAATGCTCATGACGAGTTTGACAATGATATCTCAAGAGGTGGCCATACCCACAGAAGAAAAAGCGACAAAGCCATTTTCCAAAATACATAGTAGATAAGTTAAATCTTTTACTTACAGATCATTATACACTAACAGATGCCCAGGGGAAATTGGGGGACTTTCTCAGAATAACTTCTAGTTTTCTTCTATTTCCGGTAAATAGCTTTTCATAGAAGTAGATCTGTTGCTGTAGAATCTTTTCATCCTCTCTTCATACCACCAGGGGGCAGTGGTGGGCTATATTGTTTGATTTGCTCTATCACATACTTGTGGTTCTATTGGATAAAGTACGCACTCAGGAAATTAAGATGAATTATGTCATCCATGTTATGAATCTAAATTCTGAATGTCAAAATTTGCCATGCCATCAGAAAGCTTCACTCCTGTTTAAATGGGAAGCTAGCAAATTATTGCTTGATTATGTTTTAGCGTAGAGTACCTGGATTATAGACAGGAGGCTTATCTCGACCCTTATTTTTGGAACATTTTACTCCAAATCTTCTTTGGTGTTCTATTCATTTTGTATTCACATGGGACTCTTTGAGTCATGCACCTCCTGTTGTGCTGACATTCGCCAAAAAAAACACCCTTAATATTAATCCGTTATCTTCTCTTCAAATTCACCTAGGAGGAGATGAGAAGCATTAAACAGGCCACCCCCTCTAACTTCCAATGCCTTTATGCTATTGAAGTCAAAATAATCTTGTTTGATTATTTGACCCATGAAGCCATTCTATCCTTTTGTCTAAAATTTATTTTGAGGATTCATAAGTTAGAGTTTTACTACTAAAATGAAGACATTAAAAAAAATCTCTTTGTGTAAATAGAAAGGACAGTATTTGACTAACTCCTTGCATGTTTGCAACAACCTTCACCTGTGCAATGAGACTTGCAGTCCCCTCCCGGCATGCACACCCTGTGTCAGAGCCGGTGCTACCATGACCCTTTCTGAGGCAGTTGCCTCAAGCAGCACTTCTGGGGGGGGGGACTAGCAGCAGATTTGGATCTGACTGCTGCACCTGACTCCCTGCTTGTTTGTAGTATCAGATGCCTCCTCCTCCTCTTCCCTGGGGCAATGTCTTCATACCCACACATCTCTTTCTACCCTCCATTCAGGCAAGAACATATTTCCCCTCTCTTCCCCACCCCCACCCCCCAAAAAACACGCTTCCTCTTTCTTTCCTTACCACTGAGCAAGGTTTAATCATGACTAATAGAAAGGGAGATGGTAAAAGCTTATGCATATTGTTAGGAATAAATTGCTCCTGTGACAATTTTTATGTTTTGCTAGGTTCTTGTCTTCACGCCACGTTTTCTGTG